ATTTTATTGTTATGTTTCCTTAATTTGGTTTATTTAATTCATCTTTCATTCTATAAATTAAAGATATTTTATTTGTTTTTTTTTCTTGTGCTTGACGTACACATGATGTAATCGTGCCATGCATGACATAAAATAAAGATAATGCCAAATGAAAACCTTTTATTGAGTGTCCTTTTCGAATTCATCCGTTATGTTGGTGGGATCCGAGAATATCTTCTCACCTAGGAAAAATGCTCGATAAACTCGCCTTCGTAAGTTTTAAGAGTAGATCCCATCATCGAGGTAATCGTTTATGAGAAAAAACAATGTTTTAATGAATGTAAATCCTAGCACTAGCAAAAGCTTTTTATTAAAGATATTTCTTTGAATCCTCCCATCATTCTGGTGGGATCCAAATGTATCTTTTCACTTAGGGAGTTTATCGAAGAAACTTGCCTTCGCGAGCTTCCTCGAAAAGTCCCATCATCGGAGCCTATGCTCATATATGGAATATTTCTATATGCCATGACATTTTACAATGCAACTACGGTACATGATGCACTTAATTCCAATGTTTACTTCTTATTTTACTTAGAACTGATATATCTTTTTTTGTGCATAATTATCGTGAATAAATATTTCACATTTAGTTTTTATTTATTTTATTCCGTTATGTATGTTATTACATAAATACTTATGAGATTTTCCAAAATCACATTTTTAGCCCAAAGTTTTTTTTTTATTTTTTTTATTTCCTTATTTTTTTTATTTCATAATCATTGTTTATTTATATGTATTTTATTCATTTTATATTGTTATGATTAACAAATTTATTGACACCATTAATTTCTTATTTTTTATTTATATATTTTGACTAATTGGTAAATTTGTATATTTTTATTTAGTTAAAAAGTAGGACCAATTGGAATTCCGAGTTTGGACCCTCCCATCGTACTGGTGGAGTCCTAATCGAAACCCCTAACCTAAGAAAATTCACTCGAAATTGTGACTTCTCGAGTTCCGAATGGTCATCCCATCATTGATCTCGATCCTAAAACAATTATTACATTTTTCTATATCATTTTCTTATGTTATTA